GAATTTTTAAATATTGAATGCAATCAATCTTTTATTGATAATATTTATCTAAAATACAAAATTGTAATTACAAGGAGTTCGTTTTTGAAGTAGCCTTTAAAACTTTATCTTAAAATGTTATTTACTTAGGGAAAACAGAATTGTTTTATGATGATTGATTTAGAAATGTATAATTGCTTAATAACTCGACTGCAAAATCATATAAAACCATACATAATTCAATTTTGAGTTTAAATTCAAGAAGAATTGAATAATATAGATAATAAAAAAACATTATTTGCACCGGACTTGTGTCCAAGTGGTATTTTAGATGTACAATGTACATGTATTTTTCTTGAATCTTCTAACACCCAGTTTTTGGCCAATCAGAAATTTAATATAACCATCAGAATAAAATACAGGTTTATGCCGTATTTAATATACGAATGATAACAAATTCTGAAATAAATATTCTTATTTGCACCGAACGATCTAAAGGCAATATAGTTTACAGCTATGTCAAGTAGTTCATTTGATTTATATACATAATACAACAACTGATGAAGTATCATTCTATTTATGAGTTTTGAGCTTTTCCGGTGATGCTATGCAATGTCCAGTACGCGGGAAAATGAACAAAAATGTCACCTGCTTCATGTGCAATTCATTGGTTCAGAGTACCAGTGTGATGCCTTTCTCATCACTCGGCATCCTTTCTTTCGGTGTTGTAATTCTGTTTCTCAAAATTATCCTCTGAATCATGGGATGATTTGAACCAAAATATTGCCTTTGATCGACTTAGTACATTACATATAAGCAGTTTGATTCTTTGCTATAGGCTGACGGATAGATCACACAAAAAGTCCGATTGACATAGTTTTTACCTTATTACGGCCTGGAATTTTGAAATTTTAAGAATGTTTACTACTACTTTTTATGACTCCTGAAGGATAGATATTATGCAAATGTTGGTTATCTAATTGTATAATACGTATTTTAAGATCTAGTGTGAGTTTGGGTGAAGGTTATCTACTTTTCATTTAACGATCACCGGTTTTAGTTGTTTTATGTAATATCCGCCTAACATGTATTAGAAACAATACAAAGGTAACAAAGAAACAGGCCGGTAACAACCGTTGCCGGATAGTTTTTCTGCACGAGTAGTCAGGTCAAGGTCCGAGGCGATAGCCGAGGACCTTGACCTGACTACAAGTGCAGAAAAACTATACGGCAGGTTGTTTCCGGCCTGTTTTTTTGTTACTTTTGTTTTGTATCTGACTTGTACGACGTTTCAAGAAAGTAATAATACATTTTGCAAGACTAAACATTTGAGAAACTTAGATAGCCATAAAGCAGTAAATGTAAGTTATAGTATAAACACACTTTTTTTTTCATTTCCCTTCAACCGAGAGTTTTTTACAAGAAAAAAATCAGGAATCTAATAATTTGATAAAAAAGAACCATATCAAGTAAAAGATGAATGTTGTACACATTTAAGACTTTTTAAAATGCAACTTCGTAAAAAAGTAATATATTAAAGAAATATTTTAGTGGTAAGTAAGCTAACGTTTGATTTTTATGGATGAAACGGAAAGCGGGGAGGGGGGCCTAATTTAATTTGAAATAAACAGGCTGTGATCTTTATTTTGATGAAAAAATGCAGAATGTGCCATTCCATCCCCCCATTCCTCCTTTAAAAAAATCGTAAAAATCGCACGTTTGTTGCCAAATACATGAATTCAATATTCAGTGGTGGGGGTCCCGGGGGTTGTAACACCCCTTTTTTGAACGATCAATACATTTAAATGGGGACATATAGTTGGACCCCCCCCCCCCCTGTTTTGTCCTGGATTGGGAACCCTCTTTTTTAAAATGGCTGGATCCGCAACTGATATATATGTATATATAAATTCAATAACAATATAAATGTATCAAAAGAATGAATTTCCTACTTCATTAGTGAATGAAATGTTATGAAAAAATGGATTTTGTCTTATTTATAATATTATATATATTCAGGCATATACTTTGATTTTTTTTTAAATTCATGCTCGTCTCTAGATCTGCAAGTGTTGATCGGGATTAAACACGTGTTACTATATGGTCCAATCGCAGCTTACCGTCCAAAATTGATGACATAAGTTGAATGATTTTCTTCTAGATTTGCTGCTTATTTGGACGTGTATTACACGAACACTTTTTTTTTATAGGATCAATCGTGCATTGGTGAGTTGATAGGGATTTTATCTTTTGATAAGATTTGATTTTTATTTACTTATTTCCTGTCTTTTTTTATTGAAATATGAACGTCGGTATCATCATTTCTTTACTTTCAGCACTGTCCAAAATACTATTCATGTCCATATATCGAAGAAAACATTTATTGACCGATTATTTTGCTTCATAAATGGGGCGGTATGTTCTTTTCTGAGTATATTAACTATTTACTTTTCAACGACATCACCCAAATATTTTTGTTTAAATTAGCACTATACGGTATTCGGAAAATCAGGAATCATGCAGAACATTAATTTGTCATCTGCTTGACCATAGTAAATTTTTCTCATAAAATTTGGGATCAAAATATCTTTTTTTAGGAGAAAACCATACCCCCCCCCCCCCCTCCCCCCCTGTTTTTGAAGTTAAATGTCTAATCCCTTAGTGTACTGATATGAATAGTATTTTACTGAAAATGTTTGAAAAAAGATATTGATGCTAACGTAAATATTTTGTTTAATAAAAAGACAGGAAATATGTCGGTGAACCAAAAAGTTCAAATCTAATTGAAAGTTAAAGTGCCCATGAACTCACTGATCATGCACGAGTGAATCTATTCATAAAAAGTGTCCGTGTAACAACTAAAAAGAGTCCGTGTATCATCTAAAGAGTCCGTGTAACACCCGTTAATGTACTGTTTTTCTATAGCTCTGCGGGGGACAAAGTCGTACAATTAATTATAAACACATTCAATGATACTAGTATTCATAATGGCTAAAACTGTTAAATTACTTATACCTTTAATACATGTAACACCCAGCGTTATGCAATAAGTATTCATCACCTACAATTTTTTGCTACATATTTCATATAAAACACATGAACTAATAACAGTTAAATATAATCTTCATGCAAAATTCTAGGTATATACTTATCAATATATACCCTATATATAACACACAAACCTTAATCCGCTGGGACACATCTAGACAGCGCCCCCACTCACAGAATGAGTTGTAGCGATAATTAAAAGGGACTACGTGAAAGATTTGAAATATGTCAAAAAAGGCGATTATATTCAACAGAAAAAGTGGTAAATTCAGGTTTCCTGCTATATCGTACCGACTCACAGGTAGTCAAGGTCGTTAAAAAACCCCCTCGTCGTTTTACCGACTGAGTAATAATCAAACCAGATCTGGCAGTTATGACTGTCGTTTACCATATGGGTATGCATTAAACTCATATTTTCTATTTTTTGCCAAGTGCTTGGCCTTTGTGGGGTAGGAAAGGTTTTTTTCAGTACATCTTTCCTGGTGGCTTAGTTGACCCCTTCCTTGGCAAAGCTATTGTATTCTGTATTTTTGTATTATTGTTTCGTATTTTTCATTCATTATTATCTTGTTGTACAAATGTATATATTGTTTATTTTTATATGAGATTTTTTTTTTACTCTGAATAAGTAAAAATTTCCCAATTCACCTTCTTGTTTCTCTTTTCATTTATGCATTGCCCAATAGAATGCAAAATACATGAGCTACACTTTGATTCTTATAGGTAAATGTTAAACCTCTGGTTGTTTTTTTGGGGGTTGTAGGAGGAAAGCATAAAGGCAAGTTATTTTAAAAACCATTTTTAAGCAGACGAAGGAAACCATTAATTTGTTTCGAAATTTGCATTTTCTTAACCACTGCAATACGATCTTTTGGCTTGATGACCATTGGTCAGTTTCTACACAATGTATCTTATTACACATTCTTGCTGATCTACATTTCTGGCTTTCAAATGTTTAGATTGAGCGTATTTGATAAATGGTAAATCCATAAAAGTGCTTCGGACGCACGACATTTATAAAATGTAACTTTCGTTTACTAGCATTTAATCAATACACCTACTGCTAGACTGTTAGTCCCCGAGGGTATTGTCAATTGGTAGTCAGTGCTCTGGTACTGACATGATTTATAACATAATTAAATATTCTAAAAATTACCTGTTGGAAAATAAGAAATTTTACGAAACTGCATGAGGTTCCAAAATCCTCAGGCAAAGTTGACCTCAGATAATTTTTGCTTTTCTTTTTTTTTTGTCCGTTTGAGCATTCCCGATGAAGGTAAATCAAGAGAAGCATATCGGATGCACGACGTTTATAAAGTGTGGTTTTCGTCTTTTATTCAAGATAAGCCGATATATTTTTAGCCTGAATTATAAGTAAAGATTATTTAAAAATGTTGTAACCCAATATAAAATTGTATTAAATTCAAAATTAATATTGAAATATTCCACTATAAATCATTATATTATCGACTAAAATATATCAATATTAACTTAGGTATACTAACGAACAGTCAAGCATGCAATTGTCGTATACCCAGATATATCAAAATTTAAAGTACATGTGTAATACTATAAACATTATCTACTATAACATTTCAATTTAATAGTTGAAGTAACTTCTTGTTACTTAAAATATGTATCAGTTAAGCTTATCAAGGATCACCGAAAGCACTGTAGTAAAGTAACCCAGCCCTACTTCAAATGCATGATAGTAGTGAGTAAAATGTCATAGTCCTAATAAAAATGCATGCTACAAACAAGAAAATAATTTATTCGTCCGGTATAACGTAAGAGTAACATATCGCATGCACAGTATTAGCTCCAGGTAAAGTTGGTCACTGTACATCAAAGGGTGGGATATTTATATGTAAAACTAGAAAATAACCGGGAGATATAGATACTGCACGTTCCTTATATTTGACAAATGTGTTTTTTTTTCACCAAATCTTCAAATCTCTATACGTTCACCTGCCTACATTTCTGTAAACAAGGACGGTGTATCACTTTGTTATTGGAGATTATACATTTATTTTAAATTGCTGAAGTTGGACGATACTTGCCTTGGATTCAGATAGTAAGTGATCTTTTATTAATGTTATGCCTTGAAATTGCAACTATTACCATATTTAACGCAATGTGACATGAGCTGCATTCTCATCATATTATTATGTTGACAAATAACGAGGGAGATTTGTACCATAAACGTATACATTATCGCAGGACCGAATTTTTGAGATTTTGCTCATTTTTGAAGGCTGTGCGATGACCTATAGTTGTTAATTGCTACGTCGTTTGGTCTCAGGTGGAGAGTTTTCTCATTGATAATCATACCACATCTTCTTATTTTTATATAGGAGCGTTTTATAGCGTATTGTAAAGACATATTGCAATACTGTTGAAGACTGTATATGTTGATCTCTAGATGTCATTTGTTTTGGGTTTTTTTTTGTCGTTGGGTTGTTGTCTCTTTGACATCTCCGTTTACTCATCTCAAATCAATTAAGCTTAGATTTTGTTTTTTTTTGCTAGATTTTACAGAACATATATATAACAGAAAATTTACATTGTATACCTTGTTTCAAAACATGCTTAAATGTGCTAGTATATAAAAAACACATAGCTGAGAGGATGATAGAGAAGATTGTTACCCCGAGAAAACATTGTCAACTGAGGCGAAGCCAAGGTTGACAATGTCTTTTCGAGGGGTAACAATCTGCTCTATCACCCTCTCAGATATGTGTTATTTAATTTTTTATACTGAATGTTCTGTTATTACTGTCGATTAAATTTCAAATTCAAAGTAATAAACTATGACGTCTTGTACATGACAACCATCCGTATTTAATAAAGCGCACACTTGATCAAGCGTTTCCGCGATTGGTAATAGACTAGTTGCCATAGGATAGAGTCGTGTTTAATAAAGCGCACACTTGATCAAGCGTCTCCGTGAGGGGTAATAGAGTATTTGCCATAGGATAGAGTCGTATTTAATAAAGCGCACACTGGATCAAGCGTCTCCATGAAGGGTAATAGAGTAAATTAACACCCTCGTATTAGCCAATCAAAATATGGCATTTTAACGTGAAGTATAATAAATTAAAATGTTGTCTTTGGCATTGCAAAGACAAACTTTTAATATAACACATGTATGTTTAGGGTAAACTTTTGTTGGTCGCTTGCCGCCTTAACTCATCATCTTTTATTTTCACGTACAAGAAACGGAACAACTGTGTAGTGATAAATGTCGATGTGTTAAATGATATCCGTCGTCATTTGTATTAATTGACATCTGGCCTAGACTCTGATTTAAAGCTTGACTTTACAGTATTATCCACCGTTTAAGATTAATTGGTCGCCTTTAAATGTCGTATATTCGGAAATGTGTACGGTCCTTTGCAGTCTCATTGTCTTCTTTTCGCACTGAACATCGGTAAAGTACAGTGCATAGTGTTTAATCTGAAAGCTTTAAGTTTAACTGGTCTGACATTCAGCATTGTGATGCTGCATCAGCCCTGGTAAAGACATAATTCATAGAAAAGACTAGTAATTTATCTGAAGTGACATTCGACATTACAGCAGACATGACATTCAATATGTTATTTGTGGTTTTGATGCATGTCTGTCGCAATCCTCCATCACTTGGAGACACAAACTTACTTATCTGTTGTAATTACCTTCCTAGAATCGTCAATCTTTTCAATTACTTGTCGGAATTCTACTGATTGATCACGACCGAGATATCCATCTGACTTCGTATATAATACATGTCTTGTTGTTATATATGAAACAAACACATTGTTGATTTTAAACAAAATGTAAAAGATGAAGACAAACTGTGTCATGATGTTTCAATTTCGTAATAAGATACAAATTATATATAAAGATTAAGGTCGGATCAATAGCAGGTGCCCTTAATAAAACTGAAGAAAAGAAACAGAAAAAACCACAATGTTAATTAATACATACAAAACATTCCAAGTAAACGGCGGTACATGTAAGCCTCTCTGAACTTGAGAACCATAGTCCTTCATCGCGATTACTCTAACTTTAATATAATTATCCAAATCATTATACATATATCTTATCTTAAGCCATGTTGACAGTCGTTTTAGTGAATTAACCGTAAAAGTCTAAATCCGAACATATCTCCGATTTCGTACAAAGCTTAGTCAGAAAATATTCCGCAAAATGGAAGTACAACATATGGTTCAGGTGAGACAGGTAGGATTTGGGTCGTTCCGAAGAATTGCTAAGTTTATGTCCTGTAAAAGTGTTGTATCTATATTCACTATCCCTGTCCTCGAAGGTTGCATATATTAACATATTACCATGTGTTTTGTATCTTATATACATGATCAGTTTAACACCGTTTACTCTTTTTATTATTAGTGTTACTGGTTTTTTTTAATTTAATTTTACATAGTAATGATTTATTACACATGACGTGCAATTGGAATTGAACTTTCTTCTCGAATAGTCAATCTCTAAAATTTTATAGAAAATATTTTTAAATGAAAATTAGATACACTCGTCAAATTGGCCAATATATCGCCATATTCTCACGCAAACGGGTATCGACCCATTTTTGAACGGAAACGTTGTACGTTACTAGATCTTTATACTTATTATACACTGTGATTATCCTTCCGAAACAAATGTCGAAGGAAAAGATTCGTACAGTAATTTAAAGATGTTTTATTAAATTGATTAAAATTAAAACCTTTTTTCTTTTCTGTTCGTTCTAGATGTCTCGATATCATCGTTTTCCTACAGACTCCATCCTAGATCGAGCCATAGACATACACACAAGATCAGTTACTAATGGCATAAGTGAGTCAGGCTGGAATAACCCCGCACGAACTGTTACTTTCTTGGGTAATTGTTATCGCTTATGTTTAAGATAAGGCAAAACATCATACCCATGTTTACTGCCTCCTGGCAGACAAAATAGGGCAGGTACGTTCGTAAATCATTTTTTTTTTCAAAAATATTTTATGTACGCTAGATATGGAAATGTTCTAGACTTTAACATTGCTCAACCGTAAAAGTCTTGACTTTAAAACAGTGCTTATCCAAACATGTCCATAAAATGTGTTACGTTAGGCATGTAAATTTAGGATAGGTCAGGAGGCAGGAAACAGGACTAATATGTTGTTTGACTATACGGTAGTATGGAAATATAAACAAAAGCTGACAAACACAGGAGAACACCGAATGAATCAACTTTAATGAAAAGTTACTGCCATAATTCTGACTTGGTACAAATATTTTCCTGGGGAATGTGATACTTTGAGCCGTTTATTTTGACTCCAGATATTTTTATTAGTCTCCAATTCAACAGGTCTTCATTGACATCACTACATCATACGGAAAGCAAATGGAAAATTTACACATTTTTAAAACAATATTTTCACATGTAGATAATTGTTGCTTATTGAATAAAATATAGCGATAAAACTACAAACACAAACTTAAGCAAATGTAATACCAAGATCCAAACAAAAATTTATGTCCAACATTTAAAATGTCTATAAAAGACATATTCATTAATAAGTAACCACACAAGGTTTTCATCAAAACTGAACGCACAGAGAAGCAAAATCTTCCTTCAACGAACAAAAGTAAAAAAAAACTACTACAGATACTACACAATGAAAAAATAGACTACATAATGGATTAACATTAAAACAACAAGTAATCTTCAGTATCCTGAAGTTTTGTTGAACACCTGAAGAAGAAGAAAAACGAATATAATTTCGCTATGACATCTCAGGTCAATATGAAACATAAACCGTGAATATATACAAAAATATTAATTCGCTCGTCCAGTGTATCAGTTTGCTGAATATATTTTATCTGTCTGCATTTGACAAATGAAATCAACAAGACATCATCCCTCTAGTCAGTTGTAAATGAAATAAACAAAAAGTAATTATCTTCGCACAAGTCCTTTGTCCACCAGGGGACGTGTCTGTATTCTATTATCTTTGATCATTTAGAACATTTTTTAAAAATATACTGAGATACGAAAAATCCACGTTATATCTTCTCTTCGGTGGGGGGGGGGGGGTCTGTAAATTAAGTCTTGAGATTTTGTTTAAGTAAAATCTATTTTTTTAATCAAGTAAGTGCAATATCGTTCAATTCAGTTTTATTTTGGTGCAAAGAAAACAAACATCTGTCCATCTCCCACCATATTCCCAAATAAACAATGATTGAAATGAAACTTCATTTATAAATTCAATGTTTGGTTATTACTTTATATTTCTTTTAATCGAACAATTCCATTGTTTAAAAACATGAAAAGTTTTAATTTTCAGAAGGAATTATTTGTCTGTTAATATAACTACGTGTCAATCAATGATTTTATTGTTAGTAATGTACAATATTGAATGACCGAATTCAAATTGAAATATACGTAAAAAGAACTTTGTAAAAGGGTTCCTGTATACTAGTATTTAAATAAATTTGTTTTTCTCTCTTTTGAGAAACCACAAAACGAAAAACGAAAACTGCAACTAAAAATGACATCAAGATGAAGAGCAGTTTTAAAAATACTTCAAGTTCCTTTGGTATTCATTAATATATTGGGAATTTTGTCTTATGTATATCTTATGTACAACCATTTCATATTCTTTCATATTCATTTTCTGTAATTTTCTTAACTCACGTTTATTTTTTTTTTATATATATAAACCAAAAATCGAAAAAGGACTATTTCTGAATGAAAATACGACAATGTTGTCATGTCTCATTCATTGACAAGATAAGAGAATGTTGTCATTTCTCATTCAGTGACTGAGAGCTGTATCGGGGAAGGAAAATGATAAGAGAATGTTGTCATGTCTCATTCACTGACTGAGAGCTGTATTGGGGAAGGAAAATGATAAGACAATGTTGTCATGTCTCATTCAGTGACTGAGAGCTGTATTGGGAAAGGAAAATGATAAGAGAATGTTGTCATGTCTCATTCAGTGACTGAGAGCTGTATTGGGGAAGGAAAATGATAAGAGAATGTTGTCATGTCTCATTCACTGACTGAGAGCTGTATCGGGAAAGGAAAATGATAAGAGAATGTTGTCATGTCTCATTCAGTGACTGAGAGCTGTATCGGGGAAGAAAAATGATAAGACAATGTTGTAATGTCTCATTCACTGACTGAGAGCTGTATCGGGAAAGGAAAATGATAAGACAATGTTGTCATGTCTCATTCAGTGACTGAGAGCTGTATTGGGAAGGAAAATGATAAGAGAATGTTGTCATGTCTCATTCAGTGACTGAGAGCTGTATCGGGGAAGGAAAATGATAAGAGAATGTTGTTGTATTGCATAGTTTATTACTAGCCACGAAACCCTTTCCAGCATATTAATGTAAATTGATTGTGAAATGAATAAGTGAAACAACACATACGTAAATTGTGTTATCATATTCTACAATGTAATAGGGAAATGCCACACCCCCATTGGCTGTTAGTAAGGACAATGATAACAAGTACAGGTCACCACCAAAACATTTTCTCCTTGGCAACGATTTGTTTACTTCTGGTTTTCACAATGTCGTCTGCAATTAACATTTACTCGATTTACAATGGACAAGGAAATCATAAAAAGTAACCGTGCGCGCTTATGGAACGTCAATGTAATTGATAAAAAAAGTGAAATACTCCCAACTGAAGTCTCATATATTACTCTACATCCCAAATGATAAGGATTGATAACAATTAAATAAACCCCAGTAAGAAAATATTTACCATCAGAAAATCGTCGGAATTGGATATTGAATAGATGTATATTTGTTGGTGGTGTATATGCGAAAAATGCCAGTCGATAGGTGGTAAGTTGTTTTGGTATAACAGATATGATACCTAATTCAACCTTTGTATAAGAGCATCATTGATTAGCTCCAAAAAGTAGTTGTTAAACGTCTAATGGCCACTATAACAGCCTTATTCATTCGTACTACCCATTTGATCTCAAGCAAAACAAATAAGCAAATATGAACTTAAACTTGATTATTTCAGATGATGAAAAAGACGATGCAACAGTCAGATCGGATAGCCATGGTCATTATAAGAAGGATAATGAAGATACACCAGCCAGATCAGACAGACGTGGGCACCATCGAAGTGACAAACATGTCACGGTTGACTTTGTGGACACTTTGAGTAAACAAAATTCAAAAGAACACAACACTCACAAATTTGATCGAGTGTACACGGGAGGACTGGTCACAAGAAGAGGGCAACATTTTGATGTCATACTCCGATTCAATAAAAAGTTTGATCCCGCTGCCACCACAGTACGATTTGTTTTTACTACAAGTATGTTTTTATGTGAATCTTAATCTTTCTCTCTCTCTCTCTCTCACAGAAACAAAAACGTACACATACGACTTACATATGTTTTTAAAGTTATTATTAAAGTTTTAAAATCTATCAGAATTGTTCTTTCCCATGTTGTGCATTTCAACAAAGGTGTGCTGCATTAAGAAAACTATTTATGTTCCAAGAATTTTTTGGCAGGTGAAAATCCAAGACCCGGAAATGGTACACATGTTGATTTCATACTGTCTAAAGAGCTAAAGCGAAACGATTGGTCTGCAGTCATAGCTGAGAAGCAATCAAAAACAGAATATATGGTAACCATATCAACGCCTGCAAACTGTATAGTGTCAAACTGGCAACTTGTTGTAGAAACTATATCAGCAACTGAAGGTCAACCAGTGACCTCTGTATACGTTCACCCTACCTTGATATTTATACTGTTTAACCCTTGGTGTAAAGGTAAGTGCAGTTCTGAATATGTTCATCGGTTTCGATCTTATAATAAGAGGTAAACAGTCATTATTAATATTTTATTTGTTTTAGGGTACCGTAATGTGATCGTCGTCCAATGGTAGTTATCCTCTATTCAATTGGAGGTCTTCTTCCGAATATTTTGCTAAAATTACTTGGGGTGAATTTATATGATATGGTTTTACTAGATCACAAGTAAACAGAAAGTTGTCTCAGCTTGATGTGATTCCTTGTTGCCTTTTATCTTAACTGGAAAATTTTGTATTTCATGGAATTTTCGTCACGGTCGTTTCTAACATCTATAAGAAACGATTGAATAAAAAATATATAGTTTTGTGGTACAATGAAGATTATGTAGTCTTTTAATTTATAAATGATTTTGTTGGTTTCATACAATGGTAGCATTGGATGCTAATAATATGGCTATTATTTAAGAAAGTAAAAACAATAAACTTTTTAGGATGAAACGCAAATGTCAGTAGTAGCCTATCCAAACTTATTTTTAAGTTGAAAATATTTGTAAAACATATTCACACTCAAATAGTCTTTTCAACTCTTTTGGCTTAAACTAGTGGCATGTAAACACTGTTAACCGATGACGAAAAAAAAACAAATTAAGAAGGTTATTCTTTTTTTTCATTTTTCAAAATATTCGATCCATCGGTTGGATCTTGACATGTTACAAAATTCTATACATATAAACGTTATTATGAAATGAATTATTCAATTATATCTGTTCGAGTAAAAAGAGTGGTGGCTAAAAAATGAAAAGCCAATGACACGACAACCAAGCAATAAAAGTGAACAAAAGAGGACATTTAGAAAGAGGACGGAGAGAAAGAACGATGGTTCTCTCACATGAAAAGCTATTTCTCTACTTTTGTCACTATTTTCACATTTCCCAACCGATTGTGAAAAAATTGTTCTCCTCACTAGTGAAATATCTGTTCTCGGCAAATGATTGGTTGAAATTTAATTATGACGTTTAATTTTCTTGGTTTCTTCTGAATTCCCGATTGTGACGTCATGAAAAAAGGCGACCATGCCTAATGACGTCACATATAAAGAACACAACTTTCTGCAAATCTTTGAAAAGGAAGGACAAAAATCATTAGAGAAACAGATTCCACCACTATAACTCGTGTATTACGATTTTTTCTCCACTCTCAACAGTTAAATTTTAATATTTAAAGAGCTCGGCAAGCCTCGCGCTTTAAATATTAAAATTTAACTGTCTCGAGTGGAGAAATATCGTAACACACTTGTTGCAATGGTGGAATCTATATATATCAGTCCTATTGGTATTACTTTCAAGAGTGACGACCAAAATATCGGATATCAAATTCTCACTTCTATGGTACACATGAAGAAATTCGTGATTTGAAACCGGCACATATATATGACATTCATGTTGATAAAATAGGAAATATAATTGTTTTATATTTTTTATGCTTGTATTTATCAGATGACGATGTATACTTTGACAACACGTCTCTCCTCAAGGAATATGTTCTCAATGATAGTGGTGTAATATTTCATGGAAACTATAAACAAATTGGCGCTAAACCTTGGTTTTTTGGACAGGTTGGAATTTATTTTATTTATTTGATAATAGTTGAATAAAATAATATCAACAGAAAAGTAAATAATACAAACATGTAGATTGCTTTTATATTGACATATATCAATGAACTGTGAAAGAAATAATTCATATTTCTTGGTTTTTTTAGTCATTTACTTGATTTATTGTTAACAGGAAACACTTTGTATTTATTCAATTTTCTTCCCCCTTTTAATCATAAAAATGCGAGGATCCTACAGTGAACGTCGTTATTTATAATGTTTAAAGTCTTTGTGTTATTTGAATTCTCATTTCTATTTGAATTCTTGACTGTTTATCAATCATGTATTTCAGTTTGAGGATGGCATTCTAGAAATATGTCTGTGGTGTGTCCAGAAAGGCTTTAACAATAACATATCAAAGTCTATGGCAGATCCTGTCAGAGTGTCCAGAGCTATCTCTCAAATTGTACGTAAATATATTTAATGGATGCATAGGTTCTCTATAGTTACAATACATTTAAAATGCTACTAGAAATAGAATGAACAAAATCCACCTAAATCGATAAGACGAAAAAAAGAGAGTTAAATATTTCAGAATCCCGTGGCTTGAAATCAAAACATATAGAACATTTTAGAGTATTAAAATCAAAAGGACCAGAACGGATCTGCTACAATCGTCTAAGTTTAGTGCCGTAAAAAATATTGTGATGATAGCTTTAATACATTAGTTAAAAAATTGAAATGTGCGATTATTTAGCAATAAGTTGTGCTAAATTGTCTTCTTTAATCAGGTTGCTCGGGCTGGCGGTTGTGATTGCTTTAATAATGACTCAATAAATTAATGTATGGAAAATCCTGTTTGCTGTCATTTTGATATCTACGTGTTGTATGTCTTTTGGAAAAAAAACTGAAAACACCAAAACGGAGTAAACTGTTAAGCATAGACAAAATATATCGATATCAAAAAACATAAAGAGAAATACATGTATATCGATATGCAAGAGCATGGAAATAAATGTATCGATATGAACAAACATAGAAAGAAATATATCGAAATGAAAAGCGTAGAAAGAAATATATCTATATACAAAGCATAGAAAGAAATAGCTCCATATGAAAAGAATAGATGGGCAATGAGACAACATCCCAAAACAAAAAGCAAGACAACATCAGCAACGTTCTTCATCACAAGGAGGTAACAACTTAAATTCCACTTTATTTTCAAAATCAGTGTGTCCTTATTGTATCCTTCAGTTACACCAAAACCATTGCACCTAAAGTATTTAACTATAAGCAAGCATTGCAGGACCTTGATTTAGAAGAATACCTAAAAAAAACACGTGACTGTTCCCACTCGCCTTATATTTACAGCCCCTCTGGCCATGTTATTACTGGGGATCTAAACATAATTCAACACGAACATCTCCGAAAGGTGATATCTCATGGTCCTAAGTTCAGAGAACCCCAACACATCAATTGGAACCATAACTTCAAAATACTAATGGATTGCATTGAGGACTACGCCAGAGCATGGGCTAAACGAAAAGAAGTTGAACTAGACATTTTGTCAGAATGGGTCAAAACAATCAGGTCTCTGATAAAACATCGAATTCATAAGTTGACAAACTGTGTAAATGATCGACCAAAGTCCGTTTTCAGAGACAAAGAAGCTGTGAAATGTCTATCATCTCTTCACGATAAATATGTTGTTGTTCCTGCGGAAAATATTTCAAATAATATCGTCTTTGTATGTAAATCTTACTACTACGAATGTCTTGTAAAAGAATTATAAATAAATGAGCACTCGTGTAATCCCACATTCAAAAACATATCATTTGACAAGGATGAGATTTTGGCGAATAATAATTCCTTCATGGCTTCAATGAACATTACATTGAACAGCAAATCTGAGGACTTACCTTGTTTGTATTGGATACCTAAGCTTCACAAAATTCCGTACAAACAACGGTACATTGCCGACTCATCTGCATGTTCTACAAAGAAATTGTCCATTAGATTGACAAAAATTCTGTCCGCAGTGAAAGAGGGTCTTCAGAAATACTGCGAAACTGTTTACTCGCGTAGTGGTATTAACAATATGTGGATTCTAAAATTTCTGGATAATTTTAAATCTCGATCTTTCTCTGAAATTAATTCTATCAAAACTTTCACCCCTGTATACATGTACCACCATTCCCCCATGTGAAATTGAAAAATCGTCTAATAATCCACAATGCTTTTCAATATAAAAAATGGTAGCATACGCTATAAATTTATTACTTTGGGATACCATACGGCATATTTTGTTAATAGTGAACAAAAAGGTAAAACATGCTACACAGAGGAGCAAGTGATCAGTATGCTGGAATTTCCTATTGATAACATATTTGTTGAATTTGGAGGTAGATTTTTCAACAAATTGTCGACATTCCTATGGGAACGAACTGTGCGCCTCTCCTTGCCGACCTCTTCTTATTTTCATATGAGTCGGAGTTTCTTTAGACACTTGTCAAAAACAAGAAAATCAAAGAAGCATTTATTTTTACATGCAGATATATTGATGATGTTCTTTCCATAAACAATCCAAACTTTTTCTTATTGGGTTCCATTTATATATCCTCCAGAACTAGAAATTAAAAAAACAAGAGACACGGCTTCCTCCGCCTCATTTTTAGACTTATACCTCGATTTAAACATAAGCGGTCATCTCAGTACCAGAATCTATGACAAACGAGACGATTTTAAATTTGAAATTACCAATTTCCCCCACCTTAGTAGCAATATACCAACTTCACCAGCATATCGGATATACATTTCCCAACTCATTCGGTATTCAAGATCTTGCAGCTGCTACTCAGACTTTGTAAAACGTCACCAGTGTCTGAGGAGAAAGTTGACGAACCAGGGTTATGTCAAAGAACGTCTCGTCCTTTTTCTAAAAAAGTTCATAGGAAGATACCAAGACCTTGTTGATAAATATTCCGTATCAACTTCACAAATAGTACATGATGGTCTTGATGTATAGATTCTAGGTACTAACGTTACGTGTTATAGTGTTCTTTTATTTGTCTTTGTAAATTATTAACGTTTACTGTTTGGTCCATTTTTGGTAATATCCTTTAGGCGAGGCTCGGTACTTGTATATCCCGCCATTGTGTTGTTGTGCTGTGGTCATTTTATGTATTCTTGTGTTTCATTTTTGCATATGTGCTTTGTCTATATGCCAATTTGTTTTTCTTTGTTGACATATTTGTTTGTTTTTATAGTGATTGAGATTATAACACAATGTTGACTGCTGTAAACCTATTTTTGACATTTTTACCTATTATGTCTGTTTGTTTTGTTCACACATTGTTGTCAATATAATGGAATTGTATGCGACTGTCATACAAGTGAGAGGTTTATCTAGCTTTAAAACCAGGTTTAATCCACCATTTACTACATAAGGAAATACCTGTACCAAGTCAGGAATATGACAGTTGTTTTACATTCGTTTGATGTGTTTGAGCTCTTGATTTTGCCAATTGTTAAGGGACTTTCCGTTTTAAATTTTCCTTGGAGTTCGGTATTTTTGTTGTTTTACCTTGGAATAAGCACAGATAATTTATCCGTATTACAGACGACAAAACACATATGTATGCAAGAGACAATAACATATATATTACAGAATGCTAACAGTTACTTAAAAACCAAAACCTCAACGTTTTTTTAATCTTCAAAGTATGGATTTATACTTTCTTAATACCCCACGTAAATTTCATTTAGATACGCATGATCAGTGCTGAAGTGCTCCGCGATCTTGTGCGATGTCTAAAGCTAATTTGTGTACAGAATTTCAATCAAGAAATGAAAATAAATAAAATATTTTAGTCGGTTTCCGACTTTATATATAAGTGAGTCGAAAGTATTGACCAACAATAGTTTAAATGAAAGCTTAATTCAATGTTTGTTGGGCCAAAAGGAAAGATTTGAAGGACAATTCTAATACGATCTTTATTTTAGGTAAACTCGAACGATGACAACGGTATTTTAACTGGCAAATGGGACTCCGACTATGTAGACGGAATAGCACCACTCAAGTGGAACGGCAGTGTCCGCATTCTTAAACAGCATGCTAATACCAAAAAGGCAGTCAAATACGGACAATGTTTCACCTTTTCTGGAGTGGTCACTACAGGTATTTATTACTTTTTTTCCCTGCGATTACATGTTTATATGATGTTTTGGTGGTGTTTTGGAAATTATTGCTCTTTCTCACATATAGATTATTTCGCTGTTATATTTTTTATTATTTTAATAAACTACTTTCACTACTTTCCTGTATCTTGCATTAACTTATTTACTTACGATTAATTTTATGCAAATTGACATACCGTGGTTTTTTTTAAATCACTTGTAGTCTGTTAGGTCACATGTTTACTGGTGTAACAAACGTAAAATTTAGGAAAACGTATTATTATCTGCATGACTAGCAGCTTTAAATTGAGTTGTCAACGACTTAAAAAATGATATACATGTAGTTATTATTCAAGACATTATTGAATGATTGATTCTCTTTATTTCCTCTATTACTGAACATTTACATTTTAATAACACAAGTATACTAATTACAAGAAAAGAACAACATATAAGTTACAAAATACAATTAAAGCAAGAAAAAACACGCAGTTTACATAGTCATGCAGGTATATTTATATGGTACATTTGTCTGATTATAAATATTTCCAGTGAATATATGATCTCCCAAGCAGTACATTATGTTTTTCTAGTGATTAGAATTCAAAGATTGCATAAAATCTGTAATACCATCTAGTAAGACTACGACTATATCGCCATCATCTTGTTGAAAAAAAAAACCACCCATATTCCTGAACTGGTAAAACATCAACAATTCCGTAAAACATGTTATTTCTTGCATCTAAAAGTTTTTCACAGTACATACTTAAGTGTTGAACGACATCTTTAGAATGATAACCACATAAAGAGCATTGGCCATCCTTTATTGCTATTGAGTGAGCCCAGTTTTACCATGACTAATAGTTTATAATTCAAATGCGGGTATACAACGGCAAGACGTACATGTAAAAGCTCGTACATAGATAATCTGTTGTGAATTTCGTAGTAACGACGAAGTTATGGTCGACATTGAATAGACGATTTCCAAATATTTTTTACGTATATTTTCTGTAATGCTTCAGTCTATTGGTTAGAAATTTGGTATAAAGTCATTTCATAAGAATTTAAGTTCGTGTTACGTTCCGATTGAACGATATTTGCAGAAGTTATGGTCCTAGAACATTCATGAATTAATTAGTCTTGCGAGGAGAAAAAGTTGATTCGAAAAGGATGGACTGGTAGGTGTTTAAAATATTTGCATCTTTTAATAGATATTCTGATCGTTTGGTTGAAAAGGTTGAAATTTACAACTACACCAGTTACATCTCTTTTACAGTTTTAATTGAAAATTTACTGAGTCTTTTTCTCATCGAATTCTTGTCCCCTATAAGTGTAAACTCCTTTAATGTTCCTGTGGATGAGTGAAATTATTTTCCATATGTAATACCCTCATAATGTTTGTCAAATCTATGAAGTATTAATAAGTGCTTATTGTAATATATCAGTTCATGAAAATTGTCTATGATTTTTTTTAAAGTACTTAATGTATAGTAAATAATATTTAATCAAATATCTTTTTAAAATCAAATACAAAAAACATTGTTATCATGCCTTTAACCAATAGGATTCGTGCTACCACTGATGTTTTGTTTCAGTTTGATTAATTTAGCTAGATTATATGTTGAATGTTCATGTCAATTTTGAAAGATTGTAATTCCATAGGCAAACAACAAAAATGATTTTCCAGAACCAATTAAAACAATCGTTCTCGAAAGGTAAACATCACTGTGTTATCTTAATTTATATTTATCATATTGAGTGATTTTTTTATAACCTTTGACAATTATACCACATTAATGTATGTTGATATTGTACCTAAAAAAATGCTTTATTTGTTTTTTTTTTAGTTTTTTTATTTAATGTAATATTTGTAATATTGGTCTATTATTTGTTTTTTATTTCTTACAAAATTGAAATTGCCTCAAACCAAAAAAAAAAAATATAACTACTGATATTTTTTCCAATATTAATTAGATTAGATTAGCTGGAAGTATATGGACATGTCATTTTTGATGGATTCTGATTCGAAAGATAAACATTTTTTTCTCAAAACCAATTAAGCAATGCTTCGCGAGAAAGTCAACATTTGTTTTTGTTTGAAAGTTCATATTTGTCACATTTAGGTAAATCTGTACTCAGCATAAGTTTAATGAAAGTTACACTCGGACGATAACAATAATTTAAACGGTAAAAGTAACTCTGCAGTTGAAAAAAATATGTGTGACATTGGTCCATTTTTTCTTACCATTCGCTCTTTTTCGTACCATAATTACATAAAACAAGCATATATCTAAGTATTTTCAACTTCGAGTTAGTTTTTTTCCCTTTGAAACCATTTTGTAATTCAATTGATTAAATGGAATCCTTGTTTATTTCCATTTTGCGGAAACAAATTTTGGTCGAATAGATTGACAATCTTAAACAATACGTAACACATTTTAATCGAATTTAATCGTGAGGGTGGGGCGGGTATGGGTAGATGTATTTACAGGCAGTTAATTAAGTTTTATTTATAGAATATGTCCAAGGAATACAACTGTACATTCTTAATCAAGCCCCTTATGGCGTTGTCGGCTGTATTGTTTTCTTAATCAAGCCCCTTATGGCGTTGTCGGCTGTATTGTTTTCTTAATCAAGCCCCTTATGGCGTTGTCGGCTGTATTGTTTTCTTAATCAAGCCCCTTATGGCGTTGTCGGTTGTATTGTTTTCTTAATCAATCCCCTTATGGCGTTGTCGGCTGTATTGTTTTCTTAATCAAGCCCCTTATGGCGTTGTCGGCTGTATTGTTTTCTTATTCAAGCCCCTTATGGCGTTGTCGGCTGTATTGTTTTCTTAATCAAGCCCCTCATGGCGCTGTCGGCTGTAATGTTATAGCTCTTCTGGTAATTTTAAGTTTCATAGGCGCATTTATTTTGAATAGTCGACAACTGGCAATACTTTGTGGTTAATGTTAATGTTGTATAAGAAACACATATCGAGTATTTATTATTTGGATTTTGATCTTTTCACATTATAACATTTGGAAACATTGATTTAGTTTCCTAATTCACCGTATTGTTTTATTAGGAATAATTCACTTAATTCTGTGAAGGGAGTATAAAGAACATTCTGAATGCATCAAAGGCTTCATAATTAGCATAATAATAATTGAACTACTCAACAGTTTTATTAAGAGTTGTTGGACAAGCGGACAAAAGGACAGATATGGTGAATGAAATATATAGCCTAACTCCTAGAGAGGGTGTATAATATGGCTTCTGCAACTGCATCTTTTTTACATACAATATTTGAATATTGCATATGGCTACTTAATTATATCTTTTATAATAAGGCAATTGAAATATTCATTTTTTACCGGGTTTCCAAAGGAAAATATCGTTTATTAATTTGGTGATATGCGGCGGGCGGGCGGGCGGGCGGGCGGGCGGGCGGGCGGGCGCCTGCCAAACAGTATCCGTGCAATAATTTAAAAACGCTTTGATGAAATCTTTTCAAATTTGAATATGTTGTTTCTTGTGACTTAAATAAGGTCAAGTTCGATTTTCACGATCTTAACTTTTATCGTTGTTGATTTGCAGACCTTTAAGTAGTGAAAAGTTATACTTAGAGCGTTGTCTGTGCAATAAATTGAAAACGCTTTGACAAATTCTTTTCAAATTTAGATATGTTGTTTCCTGTGACTAAAAGACGATCAAGTTCGAATTTTTCGATAATTATTTCATCGACCATGCATATATTACAAGACAACAACCGTTTGAAAGTGGGTTTCTGGAAAGTTATTGGAGTCACCACAAGATTTTATGGTTTCATTTTAAATAAGGTTATAATCTCATAAACATATTTCTTTCATTATTGACTTTATGATTTCTGCCTACCCACCCCTGCTGAACAAATGTGTGTTAACTTATAACTACTCTCTTGAATTCCAATATTATGTTACTTATGGTAAATAGGAGGTTAAGATTGATTTTGGCCTTTCAATTTCTAAAACCTACAAAATTTCATTTATTTATTTTTACTTGATCCTGTTTGGGTGTCCAGATTTGAAAATATCATTTTCATGCAGGAAAATCCGGTTTTCTGTCAATCTGACACCCTCTTGTTAAAATTATACCAATAGGGGTAATAATAAACCATGGAAAACCTTTTCCATCAAGATGATAACCTAAGAGGTTACTAGTACCAACTATTGTTAGCCAGCAAAACATTATGATTTTTTTACAGTATCTCATAATACTGTTCCTGGTGTGAAAATTGATATACAAATGAATGAATGAAATTTTCATAAGGAATGATCCCCTTAAGGTATTGTTTGAACTTTTATAAGAGATTGACCTGATTTGTTAACTTCATATCGATTATTTCAGCTGATGAATGTTTATTTTAGTTCTCAGATTCCCTAATATTTTGGCATTCAACAAAGAAATGCAACAAATTTGGACCGTTTCATGTAACAGTGTCAGAGAAGTTCAGGTATAATACATCAATGCATTAGCAATGCAACAAAATGTATAAAACTCAGTTTGCATTACAACGTTTGTCTGCTATTTGACAACATCTGGTACACATTTCTTTTTAAAACATTTGTCTTTCCTGTAAAAACGTCAAAAATATAGTTCGAGACAATTTTCTGTCGTAAGACAAATCAGGGAAATAACGTTTTGTCGTTCGGTCATATAAATATTGATTGTTTAAAATGGGGTAAGATAGAATTTTTGAATTATAAAGTAACCTCAATTACAGTTCTTATTCATGGTCATAAAATATAAAAATTATCAAAAAGGGGAGTGCTACGGACAACAATATAATGAATAATGTTTGGAATCATATCCTATTTTTCAGTTTGTAGAGCCCTTGGTCTTCCGTGTAGGAACGTGACTAACTTTGCCTCGGCACACGACTCGGATGGTACTGTAACAGTCGATGTATACTGGGATTTAGAAAGAAAGGAAAATGTTGAAGGGATAGGTAAAAGTGATTCTGTATGGTAAGTACATCATGTTTTTTTTATCAAATATTTAGTCTATTGATGGGGTCAAGAATGGACCGTGAGAAATTAGGGCGTAGACTAAATCAACAGTACGGAAAATTTGGACTTAGACGCAGGACAACATAGTTTTGCTTTGAAAAAGTTAGCAAAAACTACTCGAAATAGTCGCCAAGTACCTTTCTATTATTTTCATAATATCTTTATGTTGCAAATCTATTACACCTTAACTTGTTGCTTGTTGTTAAGAAAGTTTATTTTTTTTGGTTTAAAGGAATTTCCACTGTTGGAATGATGTATGGATGAGACGGAATGACCTTCCATACGGAAACAATGGCTGGCAGGTGATAGATGCTACTCCTCAGGAGCGTAGTACCGGTATGTATACATGTAACAACAGATGATTAACAGAAAATAATCCTTGTTATTGCAGAAAAATTATGTAAACTTATATTAACAATGGATATTCTTGTGATATATTCGTTAGCTTTTATACTGTTGTGTTTAGTTAATTGCTTTTCCTGTACTGATTTGTATTGTAAGTTTTTTGTGTACCATTTGTTTGTCCACACATCCAGGGGGAGGTGGTTGAAATCTCAAGTCTAAACCCGCTGGATACATGCTTGTCTTAAAACAGTAGCCTCAACAGTGCATGGTTTTCTTATGTCATTGTTATCTAGAGAATTGGTGTTGACTATAGGGTATTGGTGGTCTATATTTCATAGTTTCTGCGTTATTAATTCACAACTTTTGCCAGACTCGGGACGATTATGCATAGCTATCTATTTATATTTTATTATAGAATGCATGTTGCCCTTCAGATACAACATCCGTGGCGGTGGTATTTTCTTTTCTTGTATTTAACAAGATAATTTATTATCTTATTCGTACCAGTAAAGTTCACAGTAGCTTTAGTCTAATGTCACAGATTGCAACAATCACATGTTGCAACAATGGTATGTCTAAGTACCAATGGCTAACAGGTGATATATGACAACTTTCAAGAAAGCAGATGTTGTGTTTACAATTACATGTAAACTGATTTATACTTATGTCTGGGTCAATGTTTTATGAGATATTGTCTAAACAAAAAGCGTGATCCTATCCGCTTGCTTTATCAAAGATTACTTATTCACATGATGAATGTGTTTTATCATTATTCTTTTGTTTGATAGAAATCTTCTCTGTTACTGATCATCACATATCAATCAATTTAATGCTTTTTAATGTACTTTAACATAACATGTATATTTTTATAATACCAATTATTTTACCACGCTGTAGTTGGCTGTTAGACTATATATGTATATTTCAGGCATGTTTTAATGTTACCCTAACCCAGTTACAGTACATTTTTCTTGATAGTATCAATGTTGTTGATATATCCTCATATTTTTAAGTCATGAACAAAACTATTCATTCGTCGCTTAGTTTTAATAGAAAGAAGATTTTCGTTTATTTCATAGATATAAGGTGATGTGGTATGAATGCCAATGAGACAACTCTCCATCCAAGTCACAATTTGTAAAAGTAAACCATTATAGGTCGAAGTACGGCCTTCAACACGGAGCCTTGGCTCACACCGAACAGCAAGCTATAATTATAAAGGGCCTCAAAAATGACTAGTGTAAAACCATTCAAACAGGAAAACCAACGGTCTAATATATAAAAAAACGAGAATCACATATGAACCACATCAACAAACGACAACCACTGAACATCAGGTTCCTGACTTAGGACAGGATGCATGTTTCAGGGTAGGCTTTGTCCCTTGTTCTGTCAAAACTAGCTATTGTGAGTTATTATACGATGATAATTACTCTATATTTCAGGGATGTTTCAGTGTGGACCTATGTCTGTTGCTGCTATCAAATCTGGTAATTGTGAGTTATTGTATGATGGCCCATTCGTCTTTGCTGAAGTTAATGCCGACAAAGTTAACTGGGGACGTGATGGAGGACAGTGGTTTATTTTATCATTGGACAAAAGCGCGTAAGTGCTATTGCCATAGAACATATATGTAATGTAGTGTCTGATTAACCAGCACGCAAGCTGTCATGTTTACTGGTTTAGGTTTTATCAATAAAGTATAATAGCAACAGTTATGTTTAGATTATATCAAATAATGAACATATTATTAGTTATTTTCTAATTAATTTTACAGAAATATTCAAAAACTGTAAATGAATTTAACTTTTATCTAATATGAAATATATAAATATAGCTACCCGAATATGATTACGCCTTTACACATTTGATTATATTGTTGCCTTTCGTTAATTAAAGTATAGGTCACAATATTAGTACAAAGGTACCTGATGGAAAGCCGGCCAGACCACACTTGACTGATACGTCGATAATTCGGCAAGACATCACAGACGAATATAAGTACAAAGATGGTAAGTGATATATCACGTCTTAGAAGGCTATCACAGATGATTATAAGTAAAAGGATGATAAGCTTAATTACACGTCTGAAACAGGACTTTAAATTCTAAAGTAGATAGTTTGACGTCTCGTCTAATACAAAGTATATAAGGTGAATACCAAAAATATAAGAATGACAAGTTTCACCAATAATAGACATATTATACATCAGAGAGAACACAACGTTGTTAACCAACAATAGAAATATTATAAATCGAAGAGAACACGACATATGACTGTTGACCGTTAATAGACATATCATACATCAGAATGAAACCATGTATGACTGTTCACCAATAATATTCATAGCATACATCAGATAGAACACCACGTATGACTGTTCACAGCCATATCATACATCAGAATGAACACCATGTATGACTGTTCACCAATAATATTCATAGCATACATCAGATAGAACACCTTGTATGACTGTTCACAGCCGTATCATACATCAGAGAGAACACCACGCTTGACTGTTCACCCATGATAGTCATAGCATAATTCAGAGAAAACACCACGTTTGACTGTCCCGTGACGACTAATAAAAGATTCACAGCCATATCATACATCAGAGAAAACACCACGTTTGACTGTTCACCAATAATAGACATACACATCAGAGAGAACACCACACTTGACTGTTCACCAATGATAGCCATACGTAGCATATATCAGAGAATACACCACGTTTGACTGTCCCATGACTAATAATTATGGACGAATTATATATCAGAGAGAACACTACGACTTTTAATATATGTATTAAGCATCATATGACTGTTGACCAATAATAGACATAACTATCATACATCAGAGAGAACATCATGTATGAATGTTCACCAGAGAGAACACAACATTTGACTGCTCACTCATAGTAGTACATATTTGACCAATCTCAAGAATATCAAAAACGTGTTTGGTACCACTTTTATTGGTGTTTACCTTTCCGATCTATATTATTACAATGTAATTAATTTCAAGTGTATTATCTTTGTTTTATTTTAAATTGCGCAGAATCTGAGAGGGAACGATTAGCTGTGATATCTGCCAGTAGATCTGCCGTTGTAAAACGACCTGTTTACAACATTGGATATCAGGTTTGTTTACTCATTGTATTAATGTTTCCATTTAAACATAATTTTGACGCATTCATTCCAAACATAGTCGTTTGACAAATTATGATTTCACAACCACAGATCCCTATATTCCTATCGAAAACAAACAACGTTATCTCACATAAAGAAGGCAAAAAAAGATCCCTTTTTATACAGTAATGTTGTTAATAGAGCGTGTAAACTAAGATGAGATCCATACATACGCATAGGGCCTTTGGATAAATTTAATCTGAAAGGTCATGTATTAACATGTGTATTGCATATACAATAATACTAAATACTTATACTTGACAGTGTACAAGTTTTGAACATTTATTCATAAGTTTCCCGTTTTCTACGTTAATCTGTATTCAGAAAATCTTTAGATATTGCATTGTCTAATTCCTTCTTGTTTTTTATTTCTACATAGGATGTTATATTTGGTGGATTTGAACACAGGGATTACATTTTAATTGGGAAAGATTTTAAAGTTTCATTAACTTTCCGCAATATCGGCGATCAAATGAGGACATTGAAAGGGAAAATTGTATGCGAGACAGTGTCCTATATTGGTGTCAAACAGGATGTTGTGAAAGAGTATTCTTTTTCTACGCAGCTTGCCCCTAGAACAGGTGAGAGAAAAAATCGATCTCTGAAGGTAAACTACAACAGGTCGACTTTAATTGAATATTAGTAAAATATAATAAGTTATGAAGTTAAATTGAGAAATTTGAAAATCAAAGAAAAACTTCAAAACCACAAGTAACGTTTCCATTTTTTTTTTGGTGCAGATGGCAATATATATATTTAGATAATTTTCCCATCCTTTTTTAGAGGGGGAATCGTCGTTGGAGGTCAAATTAATGGATTATCTACCTAAAATTAGTGAACAAATGTCTATGAAAGTGTCAGCAGTTGTTCAGATAGAAGAAACAGGTCATATTCAGGCATTCCAAGATGATTTTAGACTTAGAAAACCTGACATTCAAGTAGAGGTGATTATTAGATGAATTTAAGATTACTTATAAAGTGCAGCACTATAATTTCCTGAATATAGATTACTTGTAAAGTGCAGCACTATAATTTCCTGAACATAGATTACTTGTATAGAGTAGCACTGTAATTTTCTGTAAATTCTGTTTTCGAAGACAAGTCACACGAAGAAGTGCCTTCTGGTAGAAATGAATAAAATGTTATATTGTAATTAGTACAAATATGAAGTGGTCTTTGTAAAGTTCTTTCAGTCAAACATATATGGTAATCGACCAGTATTTTATATATTTAAATATTATGTCGAACAGTGATTTACAGATGATCATGCGACCACAAATACCTACAATAATTAGTTATGTATAGCTGAAGCCTAATTCAGGAAAATCGACAACAGTTGTCATATCTTAATGTTTGACGTAAATACTGGATGGTGATGGCAGGTCTTTGATTATTTCTGTTCAATTTATTCACAACTTTTATAGATTCGGCATACTTTAAACATTGGAATATTGTATATTGATGAAGACTGCATTTTGCCCTATATATGTCTATTTGTCGCTATATCACTGTCTCGTTAACGTATACGGCACATCTCTTCTAAATCATATGCATATCAGTTTTTACTTAAACTAGCATTTTATATTTTCATATTTTTTATTTATATATTTTAACAAAATCAGTGTTCTGAATTCGTAGCAACCAGTGATCAACTGTTTATTATATGCGAGTTTTAGTCTTAGAAATATTTCATTCCATTTCATCATGTTATATTGATAAATAGCATAAATTACGAATTTGCTACGTACGTCTCTGGTGGAGAGTTGTCTTATTGTCAAACATACCATATCTTCTTATTTTTATATTAATTCAGGTACTGGATAACAATATGCGTGTAGGACATCCATTCAAATGTCGATTATCTTTTGTTAATCCATTGCCAGCTCGTCTAGCTAACTGTGTTTTAACTGTGGAAGGACCTGGATTAGATGCCGAAGAACAATTTAATTTAAGGTAATTTATAAAATACAGATACCACGTTTTTATAATAAAATTGAGAGTGGAAACGGTGAATATGGCAAAGAGACAACACCCCTACCAAAGGCCACCAATGGGTCTTCAACGCAGCCAGAAAATCCAGCACCCTGAGACGGGCTTCAGTTGGCCCCTAAACAATCATGTATACCAGTTCGGCGAGAAGCGAAATAGACGGCATACATGTACTATAAATAAACTAAAATAAAACAAACAAACAAGACTAACAAGGGCTAGATGCTCCTGACTTTGGACAGGTGCATAACTGCTGCGGAGTTAAACATGTTTTATGAGATCTCAACCCTCCCCTATACCTCTAGCCAATGTGGAATAAACAAATACACAGCAATAAGCATAGTTAAACTCAATTTAAAAGAAGTCCTATGTTAGAATAGGTAACAGAAGAAACTAAGCAAAATGACAATAATCAACATAAATAAACAAAGGCCTACTAGCAATTACTGACATGCCAGCACCAGACCTCAATTAAACTGATGGAAAGATTATGTCTTTTTTTGCAATTTGTTTATTTTTTACATAAAGACAGAATACGTCAAGCTTGATTTGTACAGTTTCAAGTATGGTCTCTAAGATATTTCCTTTAACGTCTAGTCTATTACATCAACTCTAAAAGGCAAACATAAAAAATTATATTACTATAACTTTTGTACCAGTTATGCAATATTTAAATTACCCAGAACAGATTTTAAAGGCAACCATTTATATATATATATATATTCTTTTAGTGTAAGGGATAAATAATTGACCGTATGTTGTTCTATTCTAACACAATATTTTAAGTATCACTACTACCTTTCACAGAAGTTTTTCTCCTGAATTTTTCTGAATAGATTGAACTGTATTAATTATATGGATAAAAGAATTCCCCAATACCAAATAACATCCCTTGCGTCTATCTGTTTCATGGTAAATCCACAGTTTAATAATAAGTTTTGAAGTGCAATCCAAATATTTCTAGTATATACACATTCCTTAAAGATATGCAATAAGCTTTCTTTGGTTATAGAGCAAAAAGTGCACTTTTCTGTTTCTGTTAAACCACTTTTATAAAGAAAAGAATTTTGAAATTTTGAAAGATTATGTCTTCATCATATGAAAATCAAGCACAATCCGTCCCATTAGAGGTTTAGTATCATGCCATCAGAAATTATACGAGAAGAAAAATCAATTCTTTTTCATGCAAATATACTACTTTTTTGGAACGAAATCGAGGCTGCTGAACTTGGTAGTTAGATATGTCCAGATTGTTTGGAGAATCTTGATGACGTATTCAAGAACAATGTAATTTTCTAACACATATCTATGATCATAGTTGCCTATTTGTCCTGGATAAATAGGGAGAATGAGGCTGGTATATTAAATTAAGAACGTGGCAAGAACAATCTTTATCACTGTAAACATGTCGTTATTTCCAGTTTTACCTGTAGAAAATACTATGAAACTTTTAAAAATAAGGGTCTATGTGATTTTTTATCAATTCACGCCAAATAAGTGAACACTGGACCGTAATATGTGGTGTAGTATTGTCGGTTTCATACACTGCCTTCTGTTATATTTTACAGTTAATGTTATTGTTGTTAAATTCAAGCTCAATTTAAAACAAATTCATTTATGTCCATAATGATCCAAAGCCCTTCTCAAAAGAAGTTGCTGTTGAATTTCGAAGAATTGAAAGATAAAGAAATCTAATGTTTGCCGTTATAATAACATTAATGGTACCAATTCCACTGCGCTAGATGCCCATTTCGACAATAAATGTCTCTACGGTGATGCTCGAGGCAATAATATTGGAATTACAATTGTTTACGCTAACGCTTTTCTCGTATGTTTGCAGGAACTTATTTATGTTAATTGAGAAACTGCTTTTTATAATTGTGGCAGTGAATGAGACATTCTCTTTATTATTTCAGCAACATTGGTTCACATCAAGAATGGGCAGCTATTTTGGAATTGACGCCGAAAAAACCTGGCAGAAGACAAATATCTGTGTCACTAGACACACATCAGATTCATGATATATCTGGTGTGGAAGAAATCAAAGTCTACCCATGACGTAGAAATGTCGACAATATTTCATATAAAGTACTCAAAATATTATGCTTGAAATATCCCATGTGATAGTGTTGAACGCTTAAAACTGTGTTATAACAGGACAAAGAATTAGACTGAAAAATCGATCAAAAGATTTTAAGTTGGGTTTCTGCATCGCAAAACTCAATGTGCTAAATTTAGTTTGCTTTAAGGTTTGCGTCATAACGCAAATGTTTGTGTTATCTCGCAAACTTAGGAAGAAATATCAAAAACAGTTTGTGTGGCGCTAATACGCTTCAGTAGTTTTTTTAGGTTTTTATTATTAATAATTATATTTTTGTATCTCGTATTTAATTTTTATGTTTCATTAAATGATGGAATTCAATAAAATGAAACGACTAACTGACTATTATCATTACTTGAACCAATTAGAATCGAGGCAATACTGTCAATATATTCTTGACACTGAATGGCCTCTGTTTAATTGTTGGTTTTTCTTCTTTGAATATATGTATAAATTTTTTGTTGTACATGCAAGTCAATGGATAATAATGTATAATTCTTGTTGCATGTTTTTAAAATATGAAGTAAAAGTTGTGTCATTGGTTTTATTTATTGAATTGAATGTTTCTCATTGGTTTCCATAAGGACGTGAAGGCGTTAACCGAAGCACTTTATGTATGGAACGGACTTACAACGCTTTTACCTAGGAAACAAAAAAGGTAGATGAGTATGATTGTCAATGAGATAACTATCCACCAGAGACCAAAACGATTTTTGTAAGTAACTAAAGGTCACCGTATGACCTTCAACAATGTGCAAAACCCAACGTAAATTTCTATGTCATTTGATCTTTGGTGGAGAGTTGTCTCATTGGCAATCATACCACATCTTCTTATTCTTACAAAAAAGGCCTCGACATGTCAAATGTAAAACAATTCCAACGAGAAAATCGACGGCCTGATATATGTTTTAAAAACAAATATGGCAGACAGCAACCAACAACAACTACTGAATAACATCCTGCTTAACTGTAAAATGAAGCATTCAACTCTTATAAACACATTGTAATGTTAAAACAAGGCAATCACTAGTTTAATTATGCTTGGTAATTGTTTTGTTTCAAAATGCCTTACTATCTATGTTGTAACATTGTCATGCAGAGATCATGTGCAGTAATGAAAAATGGATACAGAATCAAAGAAGGAACAGTCTAATGTGGATGAAATTAAAATGAATAAATATGTGCAATAGATTGGTGTGGACAGTTTACGGTAATGCCCTTTTTAAATCGGATTCCCCATTTAATACTAGAGCCAGGTACGACCCGTGATGTCCTCGGAATAATTTCAGAGTACGTTTTATTTTGTTATTTTTATGTCGTGTTTTTTCTTAGGCTCAATATACTGTTACTAATATCAAAGGGGCCATACTTTTTGAAATTGCAGAAAACCCTATAACTGTTTTATATATAATTTCTTAGACCTTTTAACCAACTCAGTAATTCAGTCAATAAACATTCAATGCTTAAACTTTGATGTATCTGTGTTGAAAATGTATTTTCTGTTAATACCTATTAACTGTCAAGAAATGAGAATTAATTGGTCTCTTGGCCATTCAATCTTCTATACTAACACTCCTTATTTAAGGACCATTTCGAAACTGTAAATTAAGCTCTATTTTGCATGACGTTAAAATGGAAAAGATAAACAAAGATTTTCCTAATCTCTTTTACAAAAAATATCAACAATGAAAGAAAACATTAATCAAGATAATGTCAACATTAAGAGGATACTTCGAGTAACACAACTGTACTGAATTATGTCATCATCTGAACAACGAAGCTGTTCAGTCGTCAAAGTTAAAAAATTTTAATAAATATTGTATAAACAATGTAAATAAGAGAAGATGTGAGCTACACAGCAATGAAAATGAAAACATTTCATAAATTTGGTGAATCCGAAGCGCGTTTCTTAATTTACCTTCAGCAAGAACGCTCAAAACCAAAACTCTAAAATTCGGTGATGTATAAATTATTGAGTAGCTATATAACCATAATTAAGGGAACGAAACTTAATCAACGAAATAAGACACAAGTTGCGAATTTAACCATGTGTATGTATCACAGTCGCTTAAATGATTCTACATCTACGGCCCTTTTCACAAAAAAATCTTAAGAGTAAAAATACTCGTAAGTCATACACATTTTAGTATAACTTACGATCAATTTTAGTCGTAAGATTTTTTGTGAAAAGAGCCACAGAGTTCTAAAGTTTAGTTAACGATGCTTTCCAAATCTCAAGTTATAAATTCTAGGTGTTGAAATTGTATATATTTTTATTTACTTTATAGTTTTCCCTTTATTAGTCTTTGTGCTATTTCGTTCCTTTTTGGTCGTATGAGTCTTGAAGTGACTCGGTATTTATGCATCCAGCCATCGGGATTATGGCTTTGGGCGTTCCTGGTGCAGGTGGGACTAGAGGTGCGATTCGGACGGAAGAATTTTTTACAGTGTTCTTTTCATTTGTTTACCCTTGTCGTTATTGTTTGACCATATTTTTACTTTATCGAGAAAGTGTATTCTATATACTGTATGATCTATCAACAACATTGGCGTCTTTCTTAGATTTATTTGCATTGTTTGTTTGAATTGTTTAGTCATTGTGTTGTATGTCTGTGATGTATATTTACACAGTTTTGGCTCCTGAATCCCAATTATTGTCACATTAATCTATCATGTCTGTTTGGATTGCTCACCCAATTTTGCCAATATAACAGAACTATAAACAATGATTGACATACAAGTGGGAGGTTTAACTAGCTATAAAACCATGTTTAACTCACCATTTTCTTCGGAAAATCCATGTACCAAATGAGGAATATGACGGTTGTTTTCATTGCGTTGGTTGATAAAGTCTCACGTTTGATTTTTGTCGGTTTTTATTGACTTCCCCCTTTTTACTTTGGAGGTTGGTGTTTTTGTTATACTTTTTTCCAACACACAGACCTCTAGAAAACAAGTGGTAGATGCAAATAGCCATATTTCTACACCATCTGTTATAATATCTTAATCACCTCTAGTATAGACAAGTTGTAAAGGAATTTAACAGAACAGCCAAATAATGTCCCTTAACACAAACACATTTATTTTGTTTAATTGTGATGATTATAATTCTCGTATTGCAAACTCCGTGATAAAAGAAAATACTCATTATATAACAAAGAACGGTTACAAATACCTTATACTTACTTTATAGTTAGATCCTAATTGCATTTGAAGAAACAAGTAGTGAATTAATTTGAATCTGATATCAAAACAATAATTTATAAATAAGTGAAACATAAGGAAAGGGAGACAACCATGAATTATATTTTACTTTTTAAGGTCATTTTTTCCGTATTTAACTCACCCATATCCTATATAACTCTTCTCTGCAAACCGTTTTTCTTCCGTTTCAAACCATGTTTGCCAAACTATGCCAGCGACTGTTACTAGATTTATTAATGAATGCATGTATCTGATTCTTTTGTACATCGAAAATGTTCAGTGGTTGGAGTAACTTTATAGTAGAAAATATTTCTTTGGAAACATCGAATACGACGAAGAAATTTTATTTATAAATATATCTTGGAAAGGGCATTTTAGACGAACTCCAGAACTTTGCTATTGAAGCATTTAAACGATTGTGCTACGTACACTCACTTGGTAAAATTCACAGGCGAATACAATAAGACTCCGTGAGCTATAGACAGAAATAAGCACTTTGTAATACCGCCCACACATTTCATATCTTTAATTCATTTGTAATTACATGTAAATTTTACGAGCTGTTCATTACTTCACCATTTGAATATTTCTTTTTTGTTATAGTGATTTATCTCAAAATAAGGAGATGTGGAATGGTTGCCAATTAGACAATTATTCACCTGGGACTAAAGAACGAGGATCTAAAGATGTAAAGATATCCATTATTTCATAATTCATGCATTCTATATCTAGAGGAAATAGAGAAATGAAATAAATATTAAATTGATGCTCCTAAAGACTGTTATTTGCTCCCACCTGGTATTTGTTATTTCATGACACTACAAACTGCTCAGAGTTCGAAAAGACCATATTTTGTGCTCAACCAGTAAGGTCAAAGACTCGACATAATCTCGACAGAACTTAACTGTACTTAACTGTACTCGACTTTGGTCTAGACTTTACTTAATAAGTCTGATTGAGTACTGGATAATCTTGGTATAGTCTGAAAATGATCGACCAGTCTCGACCTGTCTCGACCAGTCTTGACCTTTAAATTTAGTCACGACTGGTCTGAATAAGCCCATCTATATCAATTATATAAATATATCTTACAAAATTCCAGGTTATTTGGTAGTTTGGTTCTTTGCTGTCAAATTTAAGGATTTCATTAATAGATAAAAAAAAAAAAAAAAGAAAGCTAGAATTTTCAATTCGGACTAAATTCAGATAGTCACCTTTAAAAAATTCTATAATCTTTTCAAATCAACTTGGATTTTCATATAACTCTACAGCTATCTCAATTATATATTGATCTTACAAAACACCAGGTTATTTGGTAGTTTGGTTTATTGCTATCAATTTTAAGGATTTAATTAATTGTTAAAAAAAAGCTAGAATTTTCAGTTTGGACTAAATTCAGATAGTCACCTTTAAAAAATTCTATTATCTTTTCAAATCAACTTGGATTTTCATATAATTCTACAGCAATCTCAATTATATATTGATCTTACAAAATACCAGGTTATTTGGTAGTTTGATTTATTGCTGTCAAATTTAAGGATTTAATTGTAATGATTCAGACAGAGTTAAGAGATTAAATTTAAATTTCAAGACTGAGTCGAGACTGGTCGAGCATTGGTCGAGACTGGTCGAGCATTGGTCGAGACTGGTAGAGCAATTGTCATGACCATATTCAGACTATACCAAGATTACCAAGTACCAATCAGACTTATTTAGTAAAGTATAGACCAAAGTCGAGTACAGTTAAGTACTGTCGATATTATGTCGAGTCTTTTCAAGTCAAATCTGTGCTCGACCTTACTGGTGAGCACAAAATATGGTCTTTCAGACTGTGAGCAGTTTGTAGCGTGACCTTCTTTATTCAACTTATCAGCCCTATGGATAATTTTTTGGCTTCTTTATTGCATTTGAATGGTAAATTTATTCCCAACATAAACGGTGATTATTTATTTTGAGATCAAGATTAGGAATGTTACTGTAAGTATTTCTTTTTGGTTGAAAGTAATAAGGTAATAAATTTATACTGTTGATGTTCAAACAGTGTCTTGCGAATTCTTTAGCCACATACATTTTCTTATTTATAAATTGAAGCATTGAAATTCTGTTCATGCTTGTTCTTGGAGGGAAGTATTAAATTGAGAATATAATTCATCCATGGTTCTGGGCATTTCATATATCAATATGAAAGGTCAGTTGATAAGTGCTTTATTGAAGCAGGAATACTTTGATACCGAAAAAGTTTATCTGTGTGATCACAGTAACCTAGCTAATAAAGGCAGAGCAATCCCTAGATTTCTTAGTGAGGATGATAAATATCACCTTTCAGATCAAGGTGTAAA